AGGCTGGCACCTAGACCCAAACAGGGGCGGGAGGGGGCGCGGAAACAGCCCGCTAGCAGGAAGAGGCCACCGGGCCGGCGTGCGCCCTGGGGACGCCCCCTTTCCCGCGGGTTGTCCCTGCGCACTCAGCTTCGGTGGGAACGAGTGTGTTGGGGGAGAGGAGGGACTTCCCACTGGCCCCAGGCTGGGCCCTCGGAGGGGCGCTTGTCCAATCAGTGTGCGGCTCACCTGACCAGCCTACCCCAGGTTCCCCACTGAAGCGGGGTGCTAGGGGAAAGGAAGAGGACCCCCGAAACGAGGAGAGAGGTGCCGGATCTGGGCTTTTGTGAAGAAGGTTAAGAGCAAATGCTTTAATGCAAAGAATTCGAATGAGAACAGCACACAAGCTGGTGACTGTTGTACCTATTTATTTAGCTGAATTTAGTAAAATGCTAGTAAAGACCCTGCAGACTGCAAGCCAGCGCGGTCAACCAGGGTTCGTGTCTGGGTCAAGCCCTCATGAGAGAGTGAGGAGGTGCAGAGGTTGGGGAGAGGGAGAGGGGGAGGGGGAGGCCCACCACACAGCAGGCTCCGGTGCTCGCGCCCCGCACCCGCTCCCGCGCCCCGCCTCTGGCTTCTGTTCCCTCTCTCCTGTGTCCTGGTGGCCCCTGTGCTGAGTCCAGGGAGAGAAGCGGCTGGCTGAGGCCCGCCCAGCACCCCCACCCAGCACCCCCGCCCCATGGCGCAGCTCTGCATGCCCGTGGCCCTGGCCTGAGCCCCTGGTCCCTTCCTGCAGACCCCGCCTCGAGGTCTCACAGCCCCCAGACCCTCGGCCTCCTCCTTCACTCAGAGCCTCGGTGGCTCCGTGCTTACTGGCCTTTACTGGAAGGAGTTTGTGAAGAGCAAAGTGCCCCATTTCTGGCCGTGGGACAGTCACGGCTGCAGCCAGTCTCCTCTCTTCTCTGAACAAGATGGCCCTGTCCCCTGTCCCCTGTCCCCTTCCCACTCCCACGCCATCTCTGGCCCGAGCTCCAGGCTCACAGCTCCAGAAAAGTCTCAGACCGGCCCCAATGCCCCAAACATCTCCTCCTCCCGCCTGTTGGGACACTGGTCGAGTGTCCGTCCATGCCAGAGTCCTCCAGGGGCCTTTGGCCAAGGTGAGGTTCAACTCCAGGGGCTCACGCATACGTCTCCAGACACACCTGGCCCTGTGGATGTGTCCGCTGTCCCCTCAGCTAGGACCAGTCCCCCGGGCGGCATCACAGCCGGGAGAGGCAGTTAGGTCACTTGGAGCTGGTGCTTCTGGTTTATCCGGCTTGGTTTCATCAGCGTCCCCACCTCTTCACGGAACCACCCCAGGTCGGCCCTTGCTGGCACCGTGGCCACGCACCTCACTCCCTCTCTCGAATCAGTTGCATCCCACATACCTTCTCTGGTCCCCAGGAGGGGCTTGGTGGCTCTGGAAGGGCTGTACCCCGGCCATGTCCCTTGCTGCAGTGGGAGGCTCAAATTCTCCTTCAGTCTCATCCATGAGACAGGAGCAGGGGTCTTGGGTTCCCCGAGTCCTGCCCAGGGCCCTTCTAGTGAGAAACTGCAGCCGTGGAGAAGGCCAGCCACACCCCACAGGTGTGGGGCAAGGCAGCCGCCACTCCTGTAGCCTGCGAAGGACAGTCAGGAATGGGCCACCGAGGGCCCAGCAGTGGGACCGGCCTCCTCTCAGAGCCTATCCCTGTGGCAGCTGCCAGGGCCTGGGGCCCAGGGCCATCTCTGCCCAGTCTTCCTGAAACGTGCCCTCCAGACAGATGTCCCGCCCTGCTTGGGCCCCCCAGGGCAGTGAGGAGGCTGCTGCGGCCTGCCTGCCTACATGGCCTTTCCCCATGGGCCCCTCATTTGCTGTCCTGTCCCCGTGTGGCAGGGCGTCTGCTCAGGCTGCAGGGCGCTCCAGGGATGTGGCTGCTCAGACGGGTCTCTGCGGGGAGCTCGACCTGCCGGGCTGGGGAGTCCTGCAGGGGTTGGTGATCAGCGGAGGCTGTGGGCAAAGGGCAGCTCCCTGCTTTCCGGCCTGAAGGGAGACACTTTTCCACACCCAGGTGCTTTGTAACTTCATGGGGACCCCGTCCCAAAGCCTCATCCAAATCTCAAGATCCAGCTCCCCGTGAGTCACACCAGCCACAAGGTGTGCGAGGTCAGCCTCTTCCCCCGTCCCTTCTCTCTGGGGAAGGAAAATCTCACGCTGTGTCTCCCTGCCACTCAGGCGGCTGGGATTCGCACCTCCGGCCTTGGGCCCGACTCCCCTCCCTTCCTCCCAGAAGCACCGTTCCCACATCTCGAGGGCCAACCCTGACTCCTCCTCGGTCAGAGACAGGGGCGGGTGGCGGAGGGCTGGGGTGCTGCCTGTCCCGGCCTCGTCCGTCCCCGGCAGAGGAGCCTGAGGCTGTCCCGGGCCGGCCTGTGCGGGCCCCGGCACACGGGGAGGGGCCCGCCCTGTTAGCTCTTCCTTTGCCTTCGTGTTTGGCTCTCTCCCAGCACCCAGCTCTGCCCGCGTGGGGCGCAGCTCACCCTTCTGTCTGAAAGCTGTCCTTGGACCACAGACTGTGAACGGGTGTCACGTCTGGCGCGTGTTTTGGGGACCTGAGCTGACACAGGAGACAGCAAAGGGCAGTATTTGTGCCTCGGCTCGGTCCAGCGGCAAAACACACTAATTAAACTTCAAATGTACCAATTCTTGTTTCTTTACAACGCATCTTGGCTTGAAGTTGAGGTTTGAGTCGATTTTCGTCGGCTTGTTTCAACACATGCAAAAATGCTGGGGATTCCAGGCTGTTTTGCGGCAAATGCTATTTTTCTGGCTCTTTTCCCTTGGCTGAGCTCCTTGGCGGAGATTTCTTAAACAACCGCAAAAGCCCTCAAATTCCTCTTCCCACACACGAAATCGTAAATATCAATAAGCCAATTGTTCTAGGTTTCAAAATGTGGGAACGACCTCTGAGATGGGGTGTGACCCCCAGAAGCTGTGTGACGTTTGGACGAAACCAAACGGAAGGATGTTAGGTGGCGTTCTTTGTAGGCACACCACGGACGCACACACACACGCACACACGCACGCACGTGTCCACACCTGTGCGCATACGCACATGCACACACCCCGCCCTGCGGCTTGTGCTGTGGCCGGAGTCCAGCCTGGGTGTCCTGCTGACTGGTGCGAGATCTTGGGCAAGCTGCTGCCTCTCTCTGGGCGTCTGCCCCTGTGACGCCTTGGCTTAGATCACCTCCAGGGTGCCTGGTGACAGTCACACGTTTTGGAACTAGCTTGTCTAACTCCTTACCTCTGCAAACCAGGCCCCAAACCGCCTGCAGCTGTGCTGTGGAAGGGCTCCTCACTCAAGAAGCATGGCTCACAGCTTCTTATGCGTAAACACCCTCGCACACCCCAAACCCGGTCGGGTACCCTGTTCTCAAACTCGGCGGCACGTTGGAGCCAACTGGCATTTTAAAAAACCCAATGCCTGGCCCACTGCACAGGCCCGACTGAGTGACTGCGGAGACAGCGCCGGCCTCCGGGCGTGTCGAATGCCCAGCGAGTCCGACGTGTAGCCACGTTCAAGAGCCACAGCTCTGGTCCCTTCGCTCGCACACAGGCTCAGAGTGGGGGCCACCCCGTAACAGGCACACACACGCGCGCACACACGCGGACGCCCGGCGTAGTAACCGCTGGGGACGATTTTACTCTGGGCGTCCAGCCCTGTGGCCGAGTCCTGCTTTGGCCCTCGCCCCCGGGCCAATCCGTCCCCACAGTTCATCCCCACAGACTTCCGCAGGATGCGACCAGCCACTGCGCAGTCCTCGGGTTTTGTGGTGGCCACGCGCAGGTAGGTGGCGGGCTTCCAGCACAGCTGGGCTGGGGTGCTGGTGAGGGGAAGGGACACAGGCTTCCTCTGCGTTTCTGTCACACGTGCCCAGGGGCAGGGCCAGAACCACGCCAAGCGCCGGCGAGGCCGTGCTGGCTCAGCTCGCACTCCAGGACGGGAGGCAGGTCCACGGTGTCCCCAGCTGGCCTGGGCAGAGGAGACGGAGCATGGCTGGCCGTCCTCCTCCTGGGGCACCTGGACTTCGCCACAGACACTGTCCTGAGAGCGGCCTGCGGGCAGGAGTCAGCAGGCTGGGTCCCCCAGCACCCTCTCGGGGTGAGTCTGGGCCCGGGCCTGGGCCACGCACTCACACACACTGTGCAGGTCACTCTCACGAGCCCACGGGCCAGCTCCGAGCGGCCGAGCGGCCAGAAGGGGTGCTGACGAGGTCCCGCCAGCGGGTGGCAGTGCCAGGAGCCGGGCGGGGTCCCCCCGGGAAAGGCTGCTTTTTGTGTGAGGTCTCGAAGGCAGGGAGAGGCCTGGGCTGAGAAGAAGAGCTGTTTCAGGTGTGGAGGGTGTGACCTATTTGAAGGCTTAGAGGTGAACAGGATGAGTCATCCCCGCCAAGGCCCGCCTGTCCCCACTGGAGAAAGACCTCCATGTGTCCTAACAAAGG